TACCAACTGCCATCTAAAATATTTGTTTTCTTCATTGACAGAAAAGTCACCAACAATAGTTTCAATATTTTTTGTTCCTAGCAAACTTTGGTATATTTCATTGACATATGTTTTATCTGCTTTATTTTCAAGGCTAACGTTTAAGTCTGTTATTTCAGAAGATGTATGTGTATGTCCAACGGCACTTTTCCTGTTTAAGGTTTCTTGTAAGTTTGTAATATTTGCAATGGTATGTGTATGTCCAACGTCACTTTTACTGTTTAAGGTTTCTTGTAAGTTTGCAATATTTGCAATGGTATGTGTATGTCCAACGTCACTTTTCCTGTTTAAGGTTTCTTGTAAGTTTGTAATATTTGCAATGGTATGTGTATGTCCAACGTCACTTTTACTGTTTAAGGTTTCTTGTAAGTTTGCAATATTTGCAATGGTATGTGTATGAGTCTTTTTAGAATATTCGTTTTCAGCTCTTGTCACTTCACTTGACATTTTATTGTCAACATATGTTTTGTCTGCTAGTTCAGGATGAGTATGTTCTTTTGTTGCATAAGCATTGTTAGCTCTTTCTTCTTCTTTTGCTATTGCATCGTCTACATATTCTTTGTCAGCTTTGTTGCCAACATCTGCTTTCAAAAGAAGTTCATTTATAGGTTTCTCGTTTAAAGTTCCTTTTGTTGGATTTACACAGACAGTATGGTTCTTACTGTCTTGAAACAGAAACTCATCTGTCATTGGGTTTATCGTCAGTTTTAAGTTTCCTTCTTTCAATGACTCAGATATCTTAGAATAGTTTGAAAAGTTTGTTGTGTTCTTATTTAGAGCTTGCAAAATGAGTTGTCGGTTGTGTTGTATTTCTCTCATAGACGCTGTTTCTTTCGACATTTTTATTCTAGATAAAATATGCTTCCAATAGAAAAAGAAAATTCAAGAGTTGCTACAACTAAACCATTAGATGAACTTTTTACGAATGTCGGTCAAAAGTTTGAGACAGAGACCGTAAAGCATGAAGGCTATCGTTTTGACTACCCATTAAGATGGCTAAGAGACCCATCTGTCACAAAAGCTATTGGCTTTCGTAGAATGAAGTTTGTGTCTGTAGAAGATAAAAGTTTTCCATTTATTGTAAGGTTTCATATAGATTATATATCTGAAGGGAAACGAAAAATGTGGGAAGAAATTGAGCTAATACAAGTTGACCTTTCATCTTCTCTACAGACTGCGTTAAAAAATATAGAAGATAAAATAAATTCATGTTATGCAAAATATGCTGATGAATATGCAAATACCGAGAGCACACTTTATGTGAGAATTGTATATGACAAACAAAATTCACAAGTGTCATTTCAAATCTACGAAGACAATCCAAAGAAAGACGAACAAATATATACAGAATTCACTGCAATGTCATGGTATTATTTGCAAAGAATGTTAAATCAGAAAGTCGAACTTCCTTTAGCAAATATTTACAGTCGATATGCAAGAGATGAACCATATTTATTTAAAGATGTTTTCGACCCAGCTGCTATTATTGTTCATGCTTCATTTTCTGGCGCCCAAAACTCTTTCTTATGCTTGGCAAATGACTTTTACGAAAAACCTACAAAGCTATATGAACCACCGAGTGGAAGTATTTCAGACTTTCAAGTATGGTTTACTACAGATGGAAGAAAGAGAATAATTCCATTATACCACGCGTTTTACTTAGAACTTAGTTTCATATACAACTACTATCGAACGGTAAAAATATAATTTTTTAATACGGTTGAGGTGTTGGATTTGGTTGCCAACTAGACTGTGGTGCAGGTTCAGGCTGTTGTATAACAGGAGCTTGTTCTTCTGGTTCAGGGTCTTTAGGTATAATACCAACAAACTGACCTACTCTTTTACCAATATTTTTGACTCCGTTCCAAATTCCTTTTCCTACGGTTTTTATTCCATTCCATATACCTCTTCCAACTCTTCTGAAGAAGTTTCCAATACTACTGAAGAAACCCATTTTACTATATGTAAAAATCTAATGTCCACCTAGTCTCTTACGTTTCCTGTTGAGTTCCATAGCATTCTTTAACTGGAGCTCATACATTCTGTTTCTCCTCTGGTAGAAAACATATTCTGGGTCAACTCCTGTGTTCGCGTCATCTGCATAAAGTTGTTTATATCCCACTTCAGGGTTTGTATAAAACTCTTTCCATCTCATATTTGCATACCATGGTGGCAAACCTAACGCAGCGTCATTTGACATGGCAGTTTGCATTTGTACATCTGTTGGCACTTGACCATAGTTTGCCATTGCAGTTTGTATTCTAACTTCATTTGGAATATTCTCTGGGTTTGGTTGTCCAGGTTGCTGTGCATTCGCTAAGTTCTGTGCGTCCATTTAATATTAGATAAAAATATCTCTTACGAGTACATATACTGAACATTTGCAGGCATTGGTTCATCTTCATATTCTCTGTATTTTTCTGCCACGTCAAAGAAATAAATGACACAATGGAAAAAACCTAAAACAAGTAGTCCTATTTCAAACCACATTTACTTACTAATAAAATTTCTTTATTGTGACACTTTCTCCAGTTTATAGGACCTCTCTCATATTCTATCTTGTCATATCTAAATCATAGTCATGTATGTCCTCTAACCATCTCATAACGGTTTCCAAACCACTTTTATCGGATGTAAAGTAAAAGCATGGATGGTTATGTAAAACGTCTAAAGTTTCTAAAGAGTCTCTCAAAGTCCAGTCTACTTGGTATTGAAAATCCCATGTGTTATAGAACGGCGGGTCCACTATAAAGAAAACATTTTCCTTGTCTTTATATTTTTCATACAACTCTGTCCAATGACATCTCACAAACTCTATACCCTCAATATATTTTTCTATGTCCTCTTTGAAAACATTTGTATAGTTAAGATATAAAACTTTTGACATAAGTGTTTCAATGTCATGAACTCTTATAGCACCACTATATAATAGTCTAGCAGATATACTATCCCAGTCTATATATTCTGCTTTTTTCAAAACCTCTCTCACAATATTTTTCTTATCTAATGGTATACGTTCCATCTTACCTATAGGTATCTTTTCTTTTAACTCTTTCAATATATTGTTTGTGTCTGGAATATGTTTGAGACGGTCCATATAGTTGTCGAAGTCATTGCATATAATCTTTGAGTCAGGAAATACGGTATGGCACAAATGGGATATATAGAAACTTCCACCGAACAAATCTACAAATGTTAGACCATTCGGTAGTTTCTTAAGTTCTCTCAATAGAATATCTTTACATTTACTCTTATTTCCAAAGAACGGTAACGGTGGTTTTGTAAAATTCATTTATATATAATAATAAAAATGTTTTTCCCTGAAAAGTGACAGAAAAGTGACAAAACATGAAAACATATATAATTTGTGAAAAGCGACACATTATATAATGTTTTCGACCCAGAAGACTAACAATTTTCCGAATAAAAACTTCATTTATACTAAACATCTTCAGGGCTAGAGGGCACGAAGTGCCTGGAAGCCCCACTACCTTTTTTTTTTTTTTTTTTTTTTTTTTTTTTTTTATTTATGATACAGATCTTACACTGAACCTAATTAATTCCAAAACCACAACTTTTCCATTTTCGGCAAAAGTGACATATTAGTGATGCTTTTCATATGATATTTTTGAATTTAAAAATGTTCGGAAAATATTCATTTTTTTTTCTCCCATGATCCAGCTAAATTCAATAGAACACGGTTGATTAATGTTCGTCTATGAGAAATTTTAGCGACATTGATGCAACATATACCAAGTTAACGTCATAAGACTCAATGTCTGCACATTTCAATGATTCTGTTTTTCATTTTAAATTCATATGCTTATGAGCTTTTTAAATCCAAAAAAGTCCCATTAATATTAGAGCATTTTGTGTCCATAGCTCAAGCGAGCCTTTTTGCAATCTTATATTTCATTAATCAAAGTAAGCTAAATATGTTTTGAGAAAGACATCTCGAACTAGTTTAACTTAATTTTATTTCAAATTAGTCTTATCAATCTTTTAATGTATATTTTGAATATAAACTTTCAAAGATTCAAATTTGGGATTGATAAAAGAATTACCTTATTTTAATGAAGCTATTTCTCTGTTTTCTCTCTTACTGAGAGTTTCTTCAATTTCATATATAGCGAATATAAAAATTAATACTTCATTGTTCATTCATGTGTAACTGGCCTTATTTTAAAACATTGTGGACACTTTATTTTTGCAAAAATGGCTTTTCAAGGATTCGCTCTTCCTCGCTGAAAGACAAAAAAATGAATACTGCCAAAAGACGAAAATTGAAAAGGTAAACTGCGAGTCAAAAGGCGTACCTACCTTCAACTTTTTGAGAGAAGTCATACAATTAATTATATGAGTTTCTCTCAAAAAGTCGATTTCTGCAAGGTACGCCTTTTGGACCGCACAAACTATTCGCTCTAATTCGAGATAACAACAAAGAATCATAAAACAGGCATTCATGTAGGATGAATTAATACGATTTTTTCGTGTTAAACTTCAAAATTTAAGATTTCTAAATTTTATTCAAGCTTCAAACCAGAAATTTAAGCATAACTAAATGCTGCTATACTACTTATTGCATGTACAGATTATTGAAGCTCTCGTATTTGATAATCTTCACTCACTCTCAGTGAAAGCACCATTAGCATTAGAAATGTAAACTATTCAAAAATTGATAGGTACGCCTTTTGATTCGCAGTTTAATTAGGAGAAATGACACATTCGTAATATATTAGAATCTACACGTTTGCATGTATTATCCTCATTGTAAATTTTGAAAGGAATTTTATCATAAACAATTGAATTGTTTACAAAATATATTCAAAAGAGCCAAATCAATTATTTTATTTCATAAATAGAACCTAGTACATATCACATTTACATATTTATTATCAATTATGCAAATTAATTCGGACGCATAAATTGCGGTTATTTTTAGTGCAAAATCTCATCAAAAAATGTCTGCAGAGCCAGCCATCAATACCAAGCTCAGAAACCAAATCAGAACAGCCTGCGAAGAGTTCAAATTAGTCGAGGATGGTGATAGAATTCTTATTGGTTTATCTGGTGGTAAAGATTCACTTACTCTCACTCATTACTTATCAGAATGGATGCGTGAAAAGAACTTTTCTTTCCAAGTTGTTGCTGCTCACATCAAATTCAGCAACCTTCCATACGGTATTGATGCTAAGTACTTAGAAGATTTTTGCTCATCAAGAAAAGTTGAGTATCACCTTGTTGAAGATCAAATTCGTGATGTTTATCTTGAAAACGAACACAAGGAAACATGCATTCACTGTTCTCGTTTCCGCCGCGCTAAGTTGATGGAACTTGCCCGCAAATTCAACTGCAACAAGCTCACACTCGGTCACCACCTTGATGATATCGTTGCTACACTTATCATGAACATGACACAGCATGGTCGCTTTGCTGGTATGGCCGTCAAACTTGATATCACTGTCGGCGAAGAAAAATACAACATGACAATGATCAGACCACTTGCTTACACACCAGAAATGGATATCAAGCAGTTCTGCGCTGAAAACGAGTTCCAGCCAGCTAAATGCAGATGTCCATGGGGTGATACAGGTGTCAGATCCAAGACAAGACAAGCTGTCGATGCTATTGTTAGCAAGCTTGGTGAAGAGGCCAGACTTAACATTTTCCGTTCTCAATTCCACATTATTAAGAAGACTGCTCCAGATGTTAGAGAAGTACAGATTCCAAAGTCAAAGAAGAACGCTCAGAAGAAGCAGGAAAAGGCCGCTCCTGCACAGGATATCGAAGATATCGGCAAATAAAGTATATATATTATATATTGATTAATTTCACCCAATTTTTACAGATTTGAACAAACCATATACATACAAACCTAAAAAGATCATATTCTTTTTTACAAAAATTTCGAAATTTTCGAATTTGGATTTTCATACTTAAAAGTTGTTAATAAAATAGAAAAATTTCATTTCAGAAGGCTTATAAATAGTAGTATAAGTACTTTTCAGTAATAAAAAAAAGATAAATATAATCGAATTTTTGAATTATTTCACTCTGAGATAGAATGAATAGACATTTATGATACATTAAATTTATGGGTCCTTGATGAACTTCCTTAATTGTGCCATTGGAACATATAAAAGAATTTGGCGCAAAATCCATGTTGTTCCTTGCTTTGAAAACTGCCATTCGCCTTTTTCGTATGGTACAGATATTGTTGTTTGTGGTCCAGCAACTTCTTTGATTGCTTGATAGAGTTGATTGCCTGGGAATGAGGCTTCAGCTACACGATAACGAACAGTATTAAGACCAACATTATTCTCTAGGAGGAATGTGACGTGAAGTGTATCTGATTCGTTCATTGGAAGTGGAGGAATATCGCTGGTCATAATACCAACTTGATTTGGAGCATCTGGGACGTTCTTCTTGATCTTTACATCGAAGAAAGCATGTGCACCAAGATCATTAAGATTCAAAATGCCGTGCCAGAAGAAATTCTTATCACTCGACATAAGAATTATACGATAGTTATCGTCGTTATAAGTGTTTTCCAAAACCTGATGAGTTTAGAAGTGCTTTCATTGCGAATTTAGACAGACAACAATTAAACAAATCATTTTAAAAGCAAATAACATCATGCAATCATACATATGCAATCAATTTAAATTTGATTAATGTAAAAATATGAGTTTATCATTTATATATTTATTATAGCACACAACAAATAAATATAGCATATCAAAATTTCACTTCCTTCGGAGTGAGCGGTAAACTACAAATCCAAAACCTGCAATTGCTGCAAGAGCCGCTGAACCAAATAAGATCTGAGATGCAGGTTTGGCATCGCTACTTTCTTCAGAGGTTTCGTCAAAAGAAAGTTCAGGACATTTAGGATTTATAACTCTTGCACGAAGTTGAAAGTTCTTGGCTTTCTCTATATTCTTTTCAATGCCAGTACCTGAAAGATATAACTTTGCAAGCTCATGACAAGCAACCCAGTTATCTTGAGTTTCATTTGCTTTATTTAACCATATTAAAGCTTGTTGGGCATCTTTTTCTGAGTATTCTAAGTTAGAGAGTGATGAATAAAACTCTCCAAGAGCAGCCATTGCATCAGAAATACCTTTTTCTGCGGCAAATTTCATATATCCAAATGCTTTCTTCTTCATATTCTGTACAGTTGATAAAATAAGACCAAGCTGATATGCGCATGAAGGATCTTGGTACTTATCAGTGCCAATTTGTAAAAGTTGGAACGCGCTGTTTTGAGTTTCGCGATTTTTAAGATAAACAAGAGCACACTCACGCACTGCTGGAAGGAAAAAACTGAATGCTGAGAACTCCAGCATCTCCATCGCAGCAGAATAATTACTATTTTTGTTTGTAAGAGTATCTTTATAGAGTAATAGTGCTGATTTTGGATCAATTGAGAATATATACTTGTTTTTTGCTATAATTAATCTCGGCCATTCTTTCTTTTCTGATTTGTTAATGGTTACAATGTAATTATTATCAATCATTTGAGCATCTATTGATGAATAGGTTGACGGAAGCATTCCACATAAATATGGAATCTTAAATTGCGTCTCAACAAGAATCGATTGCTTATCATTATATTCAGTAAAGTGAATATCAAAAACTTCGAGTCCATTTGGTAGTGTAAACGTAACTGTAGCTTTGTCTAAGCTGTCTACGAACTTCCATTCATATAATGGTTCTTCTTCTGGTTGAATTTGCATCATGAACTTTGAAAAAAAGAAAAATTGACAATAAAATTTAATGTTTTGATACATTGATATTGCACAGGGTATTTATTTTATATTTTGCATAAATTTGAATGAAGGCACAAAAACTGACAAATCAAACACATGACTGCACTTGATTCCCAGAAATTTGATGCAATAGAAAAACGTATTCAAGAAGAATTTGGGGATTTGATAGATGCATATGAAAATAAGAAACTCGGATTTCAAAATATAATCGAAACAAATAATAGAATTTCCAATTCAATTGATGACCTTCAACTTATGTCAGCACCGCTTGTAGATTTCTCTGAAACAGATCAAAAACTAAGAGAAACTATCGAAGAATACAAAAATATTAAAAAACAATACGAATCAAAGAAAGAAACAGACGTTAGAGCAATAAACAAATCTACAAAAGATGAAATTAAAGAACTTTGTGATAAGATTAAACAATTTAAGAAATCTTGCGATACATCTGATATGCTAACAAGAATATCAAAGATTTCACGACAGAGAAGAACAGATACAAGATCAAGAACAGAAAGAACACAGTTCTTCTTAACTTCTTCTAAAAATAATGCTCGTAGTTCAAACTTTAACGTTTATGTACCTTATTGCACTCAGTACAACAACATTTAACTACTATAATTTTATTTTTTATTTATAAAGATGTATATTAGATTATCAATTTTATTATTATTTTTTATTTATAAATGGGCATCTTCATGCATGAAATGTATAATATTAAAGATAAGCATATTATTGTTAATGAAAATTGAATCAATTCAAAATCAAATCTTCATAAAATTGATTAATAAGCTATATATCATATAGAAATATGAGTTTGCAACAAACGTTCTATACTAAAACTTATAAAACTAAGTTGTAATCATATTATCGCTCAATATAACTAAGGAATGAAATGATGTTCAATAATTATGTCAATATAAGCAAAGGTCGCTTCGGAATACATCCTAAGCCTCCTGATGTGAAAATATCATATACTTACACTCTCATGTAATGGTTATTTCTTTCCCCAAAGCGATTTTTTTTCCTTCAAAATTTATCTGAAATTTCATAAAAAATGCAATACAGATCGAATTATGGTCAACGACCGATGCCACCAGTTGGAATGCCACCTGGACAACCACCAATGCCAATGTCCATGCGTCCACAACCAATGCCAGGACAAATGCCGCCAGGAATGCCTCAACAACCACAAATGATGGGTCAACAAATGCCACAGCCACCTCAAATGATGGGTCAGCAAATGCCTCAGCAGCCACAAATGATGGGTCAACAAATGCCTCAACAACCACAGATGATGAATCAACAATATCCACAGCAACCACAAATGATGGGACAGCAATATCCACAACAACCGCAAATGATGCAGCAGCAACAGCAAATGAGACAACCACAATCTGTACCAATGCAGCCTCCACAACAATCATTACCTCCTCAACCACCGATTGTACCTCATCAATCAGCACCTTCTACTCCTCAGGCTCCTGGAATGCCTCCTCCTCAGCCACAAGCTGCTCCAGGGCAGCCAGAGCCTCTTCCAGCTGATACTTTCGCAAACGAATGGAGGAATTTCCAATTACCCGAACTAGTACCACCGGATAATTCCCAATTTATGGAAAGTATCGACCAAAGATTCCAAATTCCTGTTTTATTACAACAAATTCGTTCGATGCCTTAATATTTTCAATTATGTATGATTGAAAGCCCATACCCTCTTGATTTAGTAATGTAGTCTTTATTTTGTATTGTGATTTTAATAAATTTTTTATCGATTTAATTAGAAAAGCTTTTTAGAGATATACAAGCTAAAATAGAATTATTGGTGAGTATCGAAATGCGCGAAATGAGATTTGGACCAAGGATTTTGAATTTTTATATATTCTCAATTTCAGAATTGATTGATTTCGATTAACCCAAGAAACGAAAAATGCATGTAACATTGGTGATGATTTCCCATTGTTCGAATTTATATGATTGAAATTTGTGAATTTCTGAATCCTCAAAGATAAGATATTTGTTCCGTAAAAAATCTTTTTTAATACACAAACATCTTAAATACGCAAAAATATCAATCCGAACAGACCTACAAAATTGAGAAGGTGATGGCCTTTCTTTCCAATGACAACTCTTGATGTTGATATTCTCCACCCATCCGTAGAGCAGGAGCTCCATACCAACAAGAAGAAGACACTTGTTCCAAACCCACGTTCCGAGTTCCTTTCCCTTCGCTGCCCATCCTGCACAGGTCTTACAACAGCATTCTCACACTCCAACGTCCCAGTTTTCTGCAAGAACTGCCAGACACCACTTGCTACACCAACAGGTGGCCGTATCCTTCTTGCTGATCAAGTCGAGATCCGCCCAAGAGTTAATGCATAAAAGTTCATATTGAAAATCGAAATTTATACTTTAATATATTACAATTTCGAAAATCAAGGTTTCAAAACATTTTGCTATTATACAGCTGAGAGTTTTCAACTTTGTTTATCGAAATTATTTTTTTTTGTGGATAATCACTCAATAGAAATAATATATTTTGAGAAAAACATTGAGATAAGAATTTCTTAGACCATCGAATTTAATCTTTTTCCATATTAAATTTAATATTTTATGAAAATAGCCAAAATTATTATCCTTTCTGACATATAAGCTCCATTTGATCTTCTTATAGACTTAATAAACTATTTTGCTTCAATTTCACTCTATATTTTGCATTTAATCAAAATTTCCGAAAATATTCAATTAAGATAATTTTTAGTTAACGCAATTAGAAAATGAGCAAATATATATTATTTAAACTAAGAATTCTTGATGGAGGACATCATCGCTTGATGGTTGTTTATTGCCTTTGGCTTTGCATACAATAATGACTGCAACGACAATAATGATAACAATCATGCCAGTTGCTGCACCGATAATGATCCACTTCATTGTTTTGAATCCTAATTTGCTTGAATTAGATTTAGATTCATCTTGATCGCCAGATCCCTTATTTTCCACATCTTGATCAGGTGATACAACTGAATGTTCTGGTGATGATGTAACATATGGTTCATATTCTGATTCTGATTTTGTTGGTGTTGATATCATTGGTTCTAGAGGCTTTGGAGTTGGAGTTTTTGGTGTCGGTGTTTTCGGTGTTGGAGTCTTTGGAGTTGGCGTTCTTGGTGTAGGAGTCTTTGGAGTTGGCGTTCTTGGTGTTGGAGTTGGCGTTTTATATGGATCTTTCAGTTGGACCGAGTTCGGATCAAAAGGATCAGCAGCAAACGTCATTTCATGGAGTTTAACTGTTCTGCAGAATATTTCTGGATGAACACAGTATGCTGTTCTATCTCTTGGACTTTGCTGACCATTAAATTCTATAGGAATTTGGTAAGTAAATGCTTTACCAACATTGTTCTTATCGCATGTTATTGTGGTTGTTTTACCTAGAGCAGTTACTCTCATCGTGTAACTATCATATTTGTTACATGTATATGGTGCACAGACATCAAATACATTATTGTATTGAGATGCTCCAGGTAAAATTGCTTGACCATCTGGACAACTTTTGGAAGGATATGTTACATTGATGAAGTCAAAAATATATTTGTTGTATTGAAAATCAGCTCTTGAAGGATTATAAAACTCATAACGTGCTGGACCACAATATTGGTCATATTTACGGAACCTACTTGGACATGAAACTGCGGAGTCCTTTTGTAATGGAAGCCAACTTCCCCATGTCTTGAAGTTGAAGCCTGTTCCACCAAGATTGTCACCGGTTGGTTTCTTCATGTAATGTGATGGAAAAACTTTAGACGGAACACCTGTTGCAAAGTCATTGATTGGTTGGCCACCAATTGTTGATTCTGGATTACCCCAAACAAGTGGTTGTGCATATCTCCAATCACATTTATAATTTCCTGTATCTTGTAATATTGCCATCACTGCATCTGTAAGTCTCTCGAATGGACCTGTAGCAGCAGACATTGTTTGACCTGTCATGAGTTCAGAGTAAAAAGCACGTCCTTCAAGGTGAGAACCAGATGTGCCTTCATTACCACCATCTTCGATTTCGATTCCTGATGGACAACTGTGAGTTCCGTTAGAAAATGTTTCAACACCATATCGTTTCTTCGCGAAGATATGTGAATAAGGAGTTGTCAAGAATGTGAAAGACTTCTTGTGTATTGTAAGTTGACATGTTGGATTGCTATATGGTTGTGAGTTCTCATATGGATGATATGAAGAAAACATTGAACCAGTAACACCAAGTACATGACAAATTTCGTGAATTAAAACTTGGAAGTACCAACGTTGCCATGTTGACTCACTTTGTGTATTATCTGGAATTTTCTTTGTATTTAAGTATATAATTCCACTAATTGGACGCTTGTATGTTCTTTCATAACCAGTTGGACCAGCCATTGCAAGAGGACTATCACCACCGAAATTCTTAAGAACGACTGGTAATATTAAATCATAGCCTGTATAACTTTTCAATGGAGAATACGTAAAAGTATATGAACCAGCCGAATCCATAGTAATCGATCCTGTAACGGGTATCACTTTGAGTAACTTCTCTAAATATATTCTAACATTATCCAATGTCCTTAAAAAATTCGCTCTTCGTGAAGCATTTAAAAAATCATCTTCCGTACATAGATGTGTCCCACGCTCCCATGAAATTGTTTGCCCAACGGTCTTACATTTAAATTCATCATCGAGTTCCCATGTGATAAAGTCTGTGACGATTTTAATACGAATGTTTCGCCATGAAGATTCTGTTAATTTTCTCTTTTGATGCTTTATTGAAGCAAGATCTATTTTGGGAACAAGCCAGTACTCATTTTCATTATGCATACATTGAAATGCGTGTGAATTCGCTAGAACAAACAAGAAAAACATTTGAAAAAAATTGAAATAATTGATTTAATTGAATAATTTCAATTAAACTTCAAAAAATAATCATTCAATTATTCTTGATAATTTGTCAATTAAATATATTATTGATTTGTGTTATAATTTGTTTATTTTTAAATTTCAATTATCCGATAAAAATGACAATTTTTAATGGTTAATTATATATCATCTTTACATATTGCAAAAGAAGTAATATAAGTATTTACTCCAATGATTAAAGAAAAAATAAAAAGAATGATATCAATTTTTTTATTCATGAATTACATCCAAAAAAGAATCATAAATAAGCACAATATCTTATAAGCTTTAATATTTTAGCATCGTTAAAATCTTCTTGTTTTCAAAATTGATTGACCAAAAATGTAAGTATAACCAATTTCTATTATATAATCCTTCTATAAAATATTAATAAACTTTGTTTCACAATTCTTTTGTCCAGATTATTAGTTTTCAAGCAAATTTTAATTCAAAACACATTGATATCACAATATCATGAAATCATTACATATCAATAAATTTTACAAACATTGTTTAGAGCAATATACTATAAAAATTAAAATTTAGAGACTTTCATTAGTCGTTCATAAAAAATTTTGTAATCTCTAATTTTCGGTTTTTTCCTGGAGATAGATTTGTTTTCATTCAGTGAAAATATACTAATTCTATGCATGAGTCCATGCGAGTATATATAGCTACAATCTTTTTTAGATTGAGAGATAGAAGCACTTAAACCAAACCAAAATTGAAGACTTAAAATTTTTATTCTTTAAACGCTCCGATAATATCAACATATCTTTATTCTAATGGCAAAAGAGTATAATAGCCATGTTAGGAACTAAGCAGAGATTTATAAAATATTAACTTTTTATTATAGAAAATTGGGAGATAAAGCTTGCATGTCAAAAAAAAATTATTAAATTTATACTAAGAAATCCTTATTAATTTTGTCATCGCTTGCTGTTTCCTTACTGCCTTTGGCTTTGCAAACAATAATAGTGACAATAAGGGCGATAATAACAACTACACCGATAATGACGCCAACGATGATCCACACCTTAGATGAGATTCCTTTCTTTCCATTATTTGATTTGGAGTCATTGTTGCCTGATTCACCTGATCCATTTGTGCTTGATGTTGAGTCTCCTGAAGATTGTGTATTCGGTGTTGGCTTTGGTGTTGGAGTTGGTGTTTTATATGGATCTTGAAGTTGGACTGAATTTGGATCGAATGGATCAGCAACAAAATTCATTTCATGAAGTTTAACTGTTCTGCAGAATATTTCTGGATGGACACAATATGCTGCTCTTAACACATAACCATAGCTGGCAGGAATATAATAATAGAATGCTTGACCGACATTGCTCTTATTGCATGTGATTGTGGTTGTTTTTTCAAATGTAGTTACATTCATCGTGTAACTATCATATTTGTTGCATTTATATGTTCCACAAACATCGTATACATTTCCATACTCAGATGCTCCAGGTAAAATTGCTTGACCATCTGGGCAACTATTGGAAGGATATGTTACATTGATGAAGTCAAAAATATATTTGTTGTATTGAAAATCTGCTTTCAACGGATTATAAAACTCATAACGTGCTGGACCACAATATTGTTGATAGTTAATGAATTGGCTTGGACATGAAATTTCAGAATCAGCTTTTAATGGAAGCCAACTTCCCCATGTCTTGAAGTTGAAGCCTGTGGCACCAAGATTGTCACCATTTGGTTTCTTCATGTAGTGATGGGGAAAACTTTAGATGGAGGACCTGTTGCAAAGTCATTGATTGGTTGGCCACCAATTGTTGATTCTGGATTACCCCAAACAAGTGGTTGTGCATATCTCCAATCACACTTGTAATTTCCTGTATCTTGTAATATTGCCATCACTGCATCTGTAAGTCTCTCAAATGGACCTGATGCATCAGACATCGAACTTCCTGTCATTAACTCTGAATAGAAAGCACGTCCTTCAAGGTGGGAACCGGCTGTTCCGTAACCGCCACCGTCTTCAATTTCGATACCTGATGGACAACTGTGAGTTCCATTTGAGAATGTTTCAACACCATATCGTTTCTTCGCGAAGATGTGAGAATAAGGAGTTGTTAAGAATGTGAAAGACTTCTTGTGTATTGTAAGTTGACATGTTGGATTGTTATATGGTTGTGAGTTCTCATAAGGATGATACCAAGAAAACATTGAATCAGTAACACCAAGTGCATGACAAATTTCATGAATTAAAACTTGGAAGAACCAACGTTGCCATGTTGATTCGCTTTGAGTATTGTCTGGTATTTGCTTCGTATTTAAGTATACAATGCCACTGATTGGACGACTATAGACAGAATCATAATCAGTAGGGCCAGCCATTGCAAGAGGACTATCACTACCGAAATTCCTAAGAACAACTGGTAATATTAAATCATAGCCTGTATAACTTTTCTTTGGAGAGTATGTAAAAGAGTTCGATGAAGAAGTCTCCATTGTAATTGGGCCTGAAACAGGTATTACTTTAAGCAACTTCTCTAAATATATTCTAACATTATCCAATGTCCTTAAAAGATTCGCTTTTCGTGACGCATTTAAAAAATCTTCTTCTGTACATGTAATTGTGCCGTATCTCCATGAAATTTGTTGTCCGATACTTTTACATTTAAGATCATCATCGAGTTCACCTGTGATGAAATCTGTAACAATTTTAATACGAATGTTTTGCCATGAAGATTCTTGCAATTTTCTCTTTTGATGCTTTATTGAAGAAGGATCTATTTTTGGAACGAGCCAATCTTCATTCTCATTATGCATGCATCTAAATTCATGAGAATTGGCTAAAAAAAGCAACAAAAACATTATAAAATTGAATTTGTTGCATACCTTCAAAAAATGCGGAAGTGTTATGGCTTGTTCAATTCAATATATTAAACAATATTTGCTTGAATATATCGAACAACAATTTTTACAACCTTTGAATTTCAAATGGGATGTATCGTAAATTATATCCGAGTTCATATTAATATTCGATTTCATTAAATTATCTTTTTAGACGAATATCATTCAATTTTTTTGAAGGTAAAAATTTTAATATAAATGGAACAAACAAACCTTTTTTTATAAATTTGCATAATTCAATTGTTCAATTTAAACAAAAAATTGTATTTATGATAATCGGTTGTTGATTAAATAGTAAATTTACTATATTGGTATACAAATTATTAAAAATTAATTGATCGTTGTCATAAAAGTTACATTCTGTCAAATCAGTCACTCTTGTCTTGACGATGTGCTATTGATAAGTACATCTCACTTCCTTACGCAGTCAGCAACTATGTAGTATAGTATTTTTAATCACATTTCACTTATTTTTTCTCTCTTATTCATTTAAATTTAATGTTCATTTGAAATCATTATTTTGTCGATATAGTTTATGTAGTGCATACCTTTGGGCAAATAGTTAGAAATTTTCTTAATCTTAAAACATTATTTTATCATAAGTTGAGTTAAATGTTATATACCATATAATTAGACATATAACCAACATTTCAAATGAAAATTATTAATTTTATCTCTATGTAGTGTAGTTCAATGCATAAATCGGATTTGTTCAAAGTGATTAATATGATTCCTGCAAACGTTTGCTTGGACATGAATTTTCAGAGTCTTTCATAAGAGCTGGTGAAGACTCCCATGTCTTGAAGTCAAAACCTGATTCACCAAGATTGTCACCGGTTGGTTTCTTCATGTAATGAGATGGAAAAACTCGAGATGGATATTTTGTTTTGACATAAATAATTGATATTTTATTATAAATCATAATTCATTTTAGTTAACGCATCATAAATTAAATAAAAGGTCAAAAAAAGATAATTCAAACAAATAAATCTTGATCATGATCACTGGACGTCTCTTTACTACCTTTGACCTTGCACACAATAATGGTTACAATAAGGATTATCAGAATAACAGCCCCAACCGATGCACCAATGATGATCCACATCTTGGTTGAGAGTCCTTTCTTACCTGAATCTGACTTAGAATCATCGGATTCACTTGGTTCATTTGGATCAGGTGTTGGTTCTATTTGGGAGCTCAGCGCAGGTGTATTTGGTGTTGGAGATGGCGTTTTATATGGATCTTGAAGTTGGACTGTGTTTGGATCGAATGGATCTGCAACAAAATTCATTTCATTAAGTTTAACTGATCTGCAGAATATTTCTGGATGAACACAATATGCTGTTCTTGGATATGAAATAAATGAGGAAGGCACTTCGTAAGAAAAAGCTGCACCAACATTGCTCTTATTACATTCTATAATAGTTGTTTTTCCGAGAGTTGTTACGTTCAGTGTAAAGCTATCATATTTATTACATTTGTATGGAGCACATAATTCAAAAACATTGCTAAATTGAGTGGCTCCAGGCAAAATTGCTTGACCATCAGGACAGCTATCTTGGGGATATGCAACATTTATATAGTCATAAAGATATCTCTTTGCAGGCAAATCAGCTTTTGATGGATTATAAAATTCATAACGAGCCGGACCACAATATTGCTGATATTTAATGTCATTACTTGGACATGAAATCTCAGAGTCTTTCACAACACTCGACGAACTCCCCCATGTTTTGAAGTCAAAACCCGTTCCACCAAGATTGTCACCGGTTGGTTTCTTCATGTAATGTGATGGAAAAACTTTAGACGGAACACCTGTTGCAAAGTCATTGATTGGTTGGCCACCAATTGTTGATTCTGGATTACCCCATACAAGTGGTTGTGCATATTTCCAATCACACTTGTAATTTCCTGTATCTTGTAATATTGCCATCACTGCATCTGTAAGTCGTTGAAATGGCCCTGATGCATCAGACATCACAGTTCCCGTCATTAAATCTGAGTAAAAAACACGTCCTTCAAGGTGGGAACCAGATGTGCCTTCACCACCACCGTCTTCAATTTCGATACCTGATGGACAACTGTGAGTTCCA